AAGGTACTGAGCCCATGTGGCTAAAATAGATAAGGATAATGGGGTAATATATGTTATAAGAGCTAATAAATAGCCTGACCAAATGGGCCAATCAGTTTATAACCTTATGGAGTCCTGTGTGTAATTTCTCTTTGGGATTTGCCAGCTGTTGGGGTACCGGGCGGGACGGAAACCCCAACAAGCCGGCCCTCATGTTACATGCCTGGGCCTGGAAGGGAAGATGGAGACTGCTGCCACTGAATGATAATTTCATTGTAATTTTTATGTGTTTTATATTTACGTGTGTTTGGCTGCACGTAAATACACACGTAAATCTGTGTATCACATTCATGCCAGGTGTCCTCAGAGGTCAGAGATGAGCACTGAATTCCCTGGGATTAGAGTTACAGGCAGGTGTGAGCCGCCATGTGAATGCTGGGAATTGAACCTTGATCCTCTGAAAGGGCAGTCAGTGTTCTTAACCACTGAGCCAACTCTCCAGCACCTGTGGTGAGAAAATTTTTGTAAAATCAGTTACAACAATTACTACTCAGCTCTAGAGGTTACTAAAGCTATTGAAGTGTACAGGAAACGGAAGAATCAAATATTATGCTTTAATACATCTGTGATTTTAATAAAAGAACAGTGCATGACTCTTCCCCCGTATGCCTTACAGGAAAATTATTTCTGAAATGACTCACAGGCATAAACATAAAACCCAAAGCTCTACCATTTAGATAAGACAACAGGACAGAATATTCAAAACCTTTTGGAAGGCAATATTTCTTAGAAGAAAAATAATTGTAAGTAGGGCATCATGATTTTAAACACCACTCATCAAAATGCCCTCTACGGAACATGAGAAAGCAATCCTCAGATTGGGAAACGTATTTATAAAAATATCAAGAAGTCAGCAACAGTGGAGTCTGCCCACATCCCAACATGGGAAACAGAAAAGAAGGGCATAGAGGGAAAGAAATTCAGCCCAGCCTGGGTGACAAACAGGGGGGCGGTGCTGCCGAAAGAACAGACAGAACAGAAAGGACAGAATATGTATATGTGAGTTAGCATGGCTAGAGCACACAAGTCTATAGATCAATAAGGAAAAGTCTACTTGTGGGGATGAGGTGATGGCTGGGTGGGTAAAATGTGTTTGTGCTATCACCAAGACCTGAGTTTAGACCCCAACGCCACTCAAAAGCTGAGCATGATGATGCTGGCCTGCAACCCAGGGCTGGAAGGACGGAGACAGGCCGGTCCCCAAGACTAGAAAGCCATCTAAGTCTAGCTGACATATCCAGCTTCTCATTCAATGAGAGACTCTTTCCCAAAAATTAAAGAAAAGAGCAATGGCTGAAGATGTTCAAAGTCAGTCTCTGGCCTACACACACACACACACACACACACACACACACACACACACACACGTGAGCACAGTCACACACAGACACCATGCATGCACCACACAGAAAACTTGTAATAATAATAACAATGATAGTAGCAATAATAATAAAGCACTCAGTTTAAAAACATGAACAACAACAAAACCACAGAAGAACATTCGTGGTAGTAAACACATGTGATCTCAGAGACTGGGAGGCTGTGACATGAGGATCTCAAGGTGGAGTTCAGTAGTGAGACACTCTCTCTCTCTCTCTCTCTCAAAAAAGGCTGAATTAAAAAAAACGATTATGCCAAGATTGAAATAGCCACCACAATAAAAGATTAGTGGCAAAGAGGAACACTGTGAAATATTTAATATATAAATAAATAATATAGTTCAGATTCACAGCGAGACACTACTTCATGTTAAATAGAATTACTTAGCCAAAAGCTGTTTCTGCAGTTTCTAAATCTGGTCTAAAGATTTCTCCGTGTGCGGCAAACCACAGCCGAATGTGAATGCAAATGGACGCGGTGTAAGGGCGTCAACCAATCAAAGGATGAGGGGTCATTCAGCTGTTCAATGAAGAAAAAGGAAAAAAAGAAAAAAACAGATACCAGAGGGAACCATTCCGCGGTCTGCGAGCATCACTTCCGTTTTCTGTATGCCATTTCCTTTTGGCGGGTCATAAATAGAGCCCACTGACATGGATGGGGCTTTCGAATCGTCTTAGAATGCTGGGATTACAGCTGCAAAACCACACCCGGCTGGAACAGTAATTTCAAGCTCTGTTTTTCTGGAACACACAGTCCTCTGTTTGCAGGGCCAAAGATGCCCTGAGGTCCCTTTGATCCGTTGAGCGGGAGGGGGAGAGATGCCCGCTTCCTCTCAGAAGATAATAACAAAAAGAGGAACACTGGAGACTGGGAGTTAGATAACCAGGAGGCATGGTCCCCAGGAGGAACAGAGAGCCACAGAATAAGGCAATCTTGGGGACGCTGTCCTGGCAGGTGGTGAGGTATTGGGGTTGCGACTTTATCACTACTTTAAATTGGCTTAGCTTGATTGGTGAATAAGAATAAACCTAGAATTGGAAAGAAACAAAAAAAAAAAAAAAAAACAACAGATTTTCCCCGCTGAGTCGGAAAAACCAGATTTAACCAGAACTAATTGGAGGCCCCCACGTAGGAGTCTTTTTTGAAAGGCTGCCCTCTGGTGGAAATTTGTTGAACTTCTCTTCTTGCCCTCTTGTGCTGGAGGCCGAAAGTCCATGGTTCCTTTATTCAACTTCCTTAAGCTAAGAACCTCAGTTCTATTTTACCATCTTTCTATACTTTTCTGAGATGACTTGGTTTGATATGAAACATTTTTCACGTTTGCTTCTGTGGCTTAAAAACTGTATACACATTTGGTCTTCCCAAGAAGACCAATTTAACATTGCTTTACTGTAATGCCGTCAAAAGCGAAGCTGCACTCGCAAGTCTCACAGCTGGCCCGGGGAGTTGGTGGGGGGGGGGGGGAAGGGGGGGGGGGTGGTGGTGGGAGGGAGTACACGGTTCACACGAGGTGGAAAAGGAAAGTCTTCGCCGGTGCTGGCTTTATGGTTTATTCTTCTTACACATTTAAGCGTGGCAAAGCATTTGAAAGAGGTTTCCACATGACAATTAGCCCTGCAAAGCTTCAGGCATTAGCTACACTGAAACTCCCTAGCAAGGTAACAAAGCATCTGTGACTTTACAATGCGTTTTATTGGCTGATAAACAGAGCTCAGGGCGGCCTAGGGGATGGATCTGTGATAAGCACAAGGATAGATTCTGTTGGTGGAGGATGCAAAGTGTGTGGGGCCCCTCTCATAGGGATGTGCTCTATTCACTGAGCAGAGCGGCCAAACCCAGGGTTAGAGCCTAAACCATTCTCAGGATACTGGGGTGGATTCAGGTTGGCCCTGCTAGAATAGCAAAGGATCACTGGGTTGTCGGACCACCTCACTCCAGCACCCTAGGTATCAGGAACCATTCACGTCCTTCTGTTGAGGAAAACAGACCCGAGTGATTGACATTCCGGATTTCTCCGATGTTTACTCTAAACTGTGCTCCCTTTGCCAAGCATCATAAGCCAACCTTATGACCGAGAAAGCAGGAAATTCTCAAACCTCACTTTCTTTAAAGCAGCCTTCAACCCATGCAAGCTCCAACTCACAATCCTCCTGCCTCAGCTACTCAAATGATGCTATTATAGGTGCATACCCCAGGCTTTTAAAGAACCAGCGACGTCCTCATTTCTACCCCTCAGTGCTGGGGGTGGAAGCCACACCCTCACACAGCCAAGCACTCTGTCTTTGGCGGTCCGTCTACACGGTGGAAATGTTCGGCTGCCTTCGTAAGGAGGTCATTTCCTTGAACGAGAGGGCATCTCCAGCCTGGTGTGTTAACAGACAATGCCAAGAAGGAACAGCTGGGGAACCTGACCTCGGAACTCCTGGAGGGTGTCAGCCTTGGCGTACTGACGCTTTTGTTCCTAGACTAAGTGAATCAGATTCTCTCTGTGGAGCCAGAAGCCAGGCATTGCACCCTTTGATAAGAAACTGTGCTGTTTAATTTCACAGCACAGAATGAGGGAATAGAGGCGCAGGAGCCAGGGCCGCTTGACCAAGGCCATTACCTCAAGTGGGGACACTGACTAGACTGTGAAAGTTAGAGAGCCCCAAGCTTGCTTTTGGATTTTTGTCTATTTAATGATTCTGGCCTTGAGCTCTCTAGCCTACTTCCAGAGGGCTGAGGTCACAGGGGTGCACCCCTCTACCTGACCTGGTTTTAAACTTCTGAATCAGGTTTTTTTTTTTTTTTTTTTTTTTTTTTTTTTTTTTTTTTTTTTTTTTTGTGATGTTATAGCTGGTCAGGCCCAGAGGTGGAAAAATAGACTATTCTCATGTCTGGGTCCACTCTTTATTCTTTTCTGCGCACACATGGCAAACGGGAGTTGAACACATGAGCACAGGTTCACAGGACTCAGGGGTGTGTTTGATTCCCTCTTGGTTATTAGCTCGTTGGTTGCTGTTTGACCTGGGAGCCCTTGAGCTTTAGTGATTTATTTATTTATTTATTATGAACACAGCATTCTTTCCGTGTGTGCCTGCAGGCCAGAAGAGGACACCAGATCTCATTATAGACGGCTGTGAGCCACCATGTGGTTGCTGGGAATTGAACTCAGGACCTCTGGAAGAGCAGCCAGTGCTCTTAACCACCTGAGCCGTCTCTCCAGCCCCAGCTTTAGTGGTTTTGAACCCGTGTTTATTTTGATTCCTCTATTGCACTGGCGGAAGCTGGCTGTGGTCCATTCACTGTCTTTGAAATTGCGGAGTTGTGAATTGGGTGCAGATCTGACACATGCAGGTTTATCCATCATCTTCAGTATTTGGGCTGTTTCCACTCGGGCTTTTCATGGTGGACAACAAACTCTAGAACTAGGCAAGGGTGTTTGGTACCCTGTTACCCAGGAAGCGAGACCCAGGGAGGAAGAAGGGCTTCCAAGGGGAGACAACTGTTCTGTAGCTATAGACTTAAACAGATCCCCTGGCCTCCCAATTTCCCCAACACCCTATGTCTGAAGCTTAGCCACATGATCACAACCAACAAAGTAGACTTTTTTCAGAGTTTTATTGTAAAATACAGCTAAATCAGAAAGGAGTAAGGAACTTTCTACCCAACACACACAATATTCACTGCGTGCCCACCAAGAGCTAGCGTGGGGGCTCAGCCCTGTAGGGACCCAACACACACACACACACACACACACACACACACACACACAAAATGCTCCTTGCTCTCTGGAGCTCACAGTCTGGCAGAGGAAACAGACAGGGGCCATAGCTACTTCCACACAAGTTGCAAGGTTAGAAGTGCTAACGTGGTCAAGAAATAGTGGATTTGTTCACCACAGCAGGAAGGACCTGAGAGGGACATTTGCACGGCGACAGTGGGAACTTCTGCAGGCAGAACCTTCTGTGGGAGGTCTGGAGTGGAGCTGGTGTTTGGGTTGGACAGAGAGCTTAGGGGTTCAGACAACTGGAAACTTCCAAAAAAAAAAATTGGCGGGGATAATACAGTCTACAAAATTTTAATTTTTCAGTTTAGGGCATCACACAAAGAAGAAAAAGAGAAAAGCCTATTATCGGTTTCCCCCATGCATCAGTTGACACAAGTAGGAACAGCTGAGCCCCAGCTCCTCTCAGAAAGGACACCTCATAAAGTAGGACTCTCCCCCAGATGGAATAAGGCTGACCTAATAAAATAACTAGGAGATCCTTAATTAATTTCTGTTTTCTGGATCCTTTCAAACTTCCCCGTGAGCCGAAAGCATAGCTTGGTGGTAGGGCACATACTTAGTATACATGAGGCCCTGGTGGGTTTCATTCCAAGCACCAAAACCAAAATGAACACCAAGGAGAATTAAAACCTTCTCCATAGACCAGCACAGGCTTACCCAACAGAGTAAGGGAGTCATGGGGCGGGTGTTGTCAAGTGACTTGATTGACCTGGGCTGTGGGCATGTGGGAGAATGCAAGAAGGGAAAAGTGTGGGGAGCAGAAGGCACTTAGGTCAAGCAAGTGGCCTAGGATTCACTCGGAGGGTAGAGGCAACAAGAGAGGGTTTTGAACGAGGGCCTGCCATGATCCAGTTTGAAGGGTCATCCTGAAAGCATCACAGGGGTTGGGTCAGCTAGCAGGGTGGAGGCAGAAATCTGGCATCAGACTCAAGACTCTTCTATCTCCTTCTACCATGCAGCCTGCAAAAGTTGCTCTTCAGACTCTAGCGATACCTAGAGTGAGAAGACAGTTGATGGAGTTGTCGATGGCCTGGGAGTGGAGGAGGCTAGTTCAGGGCAGCACTATTGGTCCTCCTGGAAGTAGAACTTGGTGACTGTAAGGGGTTCTTCGGGCTTGTTGGTGAAGCTGACAGGCCGGTCAGCCTCTAATGCTGTGCAGAGGAACCAGCCTGGACAGGCGGCTGACTCAAAGCTGGTGGTGGGGCCTTTCTCTGAGCGAATGAAGGTGAAGCGCTTGTCTTGTTCCTTGCTCATGCTCAGGTCGGTGATGTTAACTTCCTGGAAGTCAAGAAATGGTCATGTGACTTCTGGGCACCCAGAAGATCCTGGTTGTCTTATCTATCTCAACGCTTCTCATAAGGTGGTCACCCTCTGATGGTAGAGAACTGATTGGCCTCTTAGAGACCCGGTCAAAGCACACAGGTTCCAGATTTCTTAAGACAGCACAAATAGAAGGGGTTGTCTTGCTGTTATCTCTTGCACTGAAAAGCATGCCAATGTGGCCATGGTACAGTAAGTCTAGCAAATATATGGCCCCATTAGCAGAGACTAAGGCCAGAGAGGCAGGGATGGGTCAAGATCTGATTCTTTCAAGGCAAGCGGGCTGTGAAAGAAAGGGTAGAGTGTCTCAAAGCCTATAGGATGTGTTATATGAGATTCCCTGTTCATCTTTATTATATTTAGAATAGATAGTCACTCCTCTCCTCCCATCTTCAAAAGGTGGTCATGTCCATTGGTAAGCGTTAGTGGCAAACTCAAGGTTGTGGCTACTGGCAGTTGGGTTACAAGTTTGTCCAGCTAGTCCTCAAGATAATGTTTGAACAGTCCATTGCTGTTGGATAGGTCAAGAAGTGACAGTTCTATGTGGGATGCCAGCTAGTAGCTTGGATAAAGGTTAGAAGTCCATGGTCTTAAATGTGGACCTTGTTAGAAGAAGGTAGGTCCAAGTGGGTTGTGAGGCTCAGCATAAGACCCATGGGTGGCTCAGGTTCTGTGATAGTGTCATAGAGGTGGTCCTCCATGAAAAATGTCTCCTCCTAGAGTATAAACCCTTGCTCAGTGCCCTTCTACAATGAGCCTATGTTAACCATATCACAGGATTTTGCCAATAGATTCATGTAAGACCAAGTTTAATAAGTGCTTTCACATTGAGGGCCATTTTTTCTGGAATAATCTTTCAAAGAAGTTGGCCACCATGCTCCAAGGAAGCTCAATGCTAAGAAGTCACAGGGAGGATGGTTTAGAGGGTGAGAAACCACCTGGGACACCCAATAACAACCAAGAACATTGCAGAAGTTATTTCAGGAGTGACCCCAAAATATTACCCTCTGAGGAACGATGTGCCTTCCTTATCCAAGCACACTCACGGAGTCATGAGAACCATCTGTGGCTGGTGTAAGCTGTTGGATTTTTTAATGGTTTGATAGCTCAACCAGATTCTTACCTCTAGCTGGAGCTTGATATCGTCTCCAGACTTGATACAGGACAGGCACAGCTTCCCCCCGTGGATCCCCAAGAACACGTTATGAAGGTCGGTAGTCACCATGTCTATCTTCTCTGCAGAAGAGCGGAGGGTGGAGTCAGAAAGAGAGACGAGGAGGAAGGGGTGGGAAAGAGCCCATGGGTATTTTCTGTCTCCTTTTTAAACTAAAATTTTAAGGTCAGAAGGTCAGGCAGGCTCTATCTTCCTAGTCGGCCTCCATATAAGAGAACCAACCAAATGCTCTACCTAGTTATCCCTAAGGACCAGCCTTCTAGATTCTGCTCCACACTCTTCCCAACCTTCCTTTACTTTCTCCAGGAAACCTGTCCTCTTGGTCAACAGAAATGCTGTTAACAGTCAGGGGCACACAACTCACGAGGCCCGTGAGTAGGCTCCAGGAAGCCTGTGGACTTCCAGCCCACCTTTCCCATCTGCTACTGGGTAGCAGTAGAAAACCCAGCCTCCCTATACTCGAGCACGCTCATGGGAGAATTCCTAGATTACTTGAAAGTCAGGAAAAACCAGTCCTATAGCTGCTGAGTAAGATAGGAAAGCAGAGGAAGGGCTTGGGGGAAGGAATGCTAAGGAAGTGTGGGCAGTGCCTCTCTATCACAAATAGAGGTGTGGGACTCTTAGACTCTAGTGTTAAAGGAAATTCAAGTTCTGTCAATCCACTGCCCTCATCTTTCTAGAAGATAAACTGAAGAATCTGTGAGTGATGGTCCTCCTAGTTCATCTAGCTTTGTCCCAAGTATAGATGGGTACATGCTGTGGTTAGTAGCCACAAGAAAGAATATTATTCAGCCATGTACCTGGTGTATTCGCTTAGGGTGAGGCTAGGGTTTGAATAACACAGGAACATGGATGGTCTCCCAGCACAGAAAGATTCAGGAAGTGCGGTGTTCACCCTAGCTGTGTCCCTGGGGCATCGCGACTCAGGTTCTATACATTTTTCTATTCTTGAGGCCACTCCCATATGTATCCTCTGGTGGTCATGTCTCACATTTCAAACTCAACAGAAATGAGGACATCCTACCTACAAGCTGGAGGAGTATGGGAAGGTGACTCTAGGCCCACATTCCATTCTCCTCCCTGTTATCCACTCACCTTCTAATTTAGTATTTGGTCCTTGTAAGTAGCCAGCAATGAGTTGGTTATTCCTCAGGTAGAAGGTCTTCTGGTTAATATCCCAGATTCTGAAAAGCAAAATGGCCCAGCTGTGGTAGGCAGAACGGTGCCTTGTCTGACATCCTTAGTGCCATCTAATTTATGTCTATATCTGCTGGGAGTGTGGTCTTTAGCGAGATCATAGCACAAATGAGAAGACTCAAGCCAACACGACGTAAGAGAGAGATCCATCTCTCACAGCTGGTGAACAGAAAACCTCTCCTTCGTGTTCCTCACCCCAGAATCCCAGCGTCGACTCCCACTGCTTCAGCCGAATTTTCTATAGAGCATCACCATCTGATAGAATCTTAGGCAATGCAAACACATCTTGTATTCACCCCACTCAATAGGGGAGCTGCTAGCTGCATCTGCATACCTTTTTTTAATTTTCAGGCAACTATGTGTAAATTTAGGTGGCCACTTGAAACCAGCGGCTACATCATAGTATTACAAGTTCAAGGGTTAGAACCCATCGCAGACAAGCTACTCTGAGTCTTAGGCCTGAAAGTCTGTAACTAGAACTTTTGCTTCTCTTGCCAATCACCTGCTCTGCCTCTGGCAGGAACAGCCATCCCTGGGAACAAGTCAACTTCCTCTCTAGCTTACACAATGGCCTGTTGGTCACTCTCTGTCTTGGTGAAGGGATCCCTGGCTGTGAGACAGGCCACCGTGAGATGTGATAATACCACCCTGGTGACATCATCTTGGATCTGTACCTTGTCTTTTCACTCATCAGGGGAGCTGATAGGATTCCCTGGGTAGCTTGGAGTAGCCACGGAGCTCAGCAAAGAGCAGAGGACAAATCAAGTCCTCTGCATGGGAAGGGGTATTTGTGCCTTTGCTTCTACGGTGAACTTCAAACTGAAGGGACCCAATGGCCTTGCTTAAAAGGACTCCAGGAACTTTTCCTGGAGTTGTTAAGAGGATGTAGTGGGAAACCTCATGAAGCAGACAGTCCCTGTTTCTGTGGGACAGACTTGCCCTGGGATGGATGCATATACTCTGAGCCAGAAACCCGACTTCCGGCTGTAGCGCCAAAGCAGACAGGGTCAAAGGGGAAGTGATTCAACAGACTTCATTCTCAGAAAGTATTGAGAACAGCTTGTATGCACCAACAATCTCTTCATTTATTTTTCAAAATCAAAATAAAGGCCTGCCATTTTAACTCTAAGGTTGGTAACAGCTTATGATAGTTGGTGAAGACCACCCAAGGCTCTTGGTTCAATTTTAAGACTTAAGCCATTTTTTTTTTCAGGCACTTTAGGTTCTCAGAGCACAGGTCTTACAGGATCACTCATGTCTTTAATTTGCACAACCCTTTAAGGTACGCAAGGGGTTGTCATTAAGCCAATATGATTCACAGGTAAGGAAACTGGGAACTCCAAAGAGAGAGATCTTCCAAGTCACAGACACAGGATATAGATTCTTGGTCTGAGCCGTAGACTGTGTCCTGCTGCGGTAGTCCTCTTTGCTAGATGCCAAAACTAGCATCATTCCTGGGCACCTTCTATCCTGTCACTTACTGAACACTTGGGAATCTGAGAAAGTGAGAACAGTTGGCCACCCTGTTGTCCATGCATGGAACACTTTTAAAAACATATGCCTTCGAGATGGTGCATGTAGCAAGTTGTTCTTGAGTCAAGGAGATATATATATATATATATATATATATATATATATCTATATATCTCCCTTTCCATCCTGTCCCTTAGACCCGGTGCCCTGGACATGTGTACGGCATGCGTCTCTATGCAACCCCGTGCCTTTGGAAGACTTACCTGAAAGCTTGCATCTTGCAGGGTCTTCTCCTAGAAGGGCGGCAGGCTGCTTCTGAATGACATAGAAGGAAGAGAAGGAGAGAGATTAAGTGACGGTACCGTCTGCTGCAGAGTTCCATCCTGAGGCCACAACAAGGCAGCAGAGACCAGAGACTGCCATTTCAGGCTCAGGGTGGTTGCTTATAAAGAAAGTCATTCACCGGCCTGTGCTGCTGTCATTCCGTCCCCCTGTCAGACGCGGAAAAACCCTCACATTTCCAAAAAGAGAAACCCTCGCTGTTGTCACTTTCAACCCTGCTGAGTGTCGCAACAGTGTGTTGTAACTGATCTCCTCCCCCTTCACCCTTTGCAATTTCCCCAAAATTGAGCTTTCCATTTCCCCATTCATGGTGTTCCTGGGAAGGAGATGTGATAAAGCCGGACTCTCATTTGCATGACAGGTACTCTGAGCCTGCTGGCTGAGTTTTCCCTCCTACAAAACAGATGCCAGCAGAAATGTCCCCTTTTCAACGGAAGGCAAGTGATAGGGCCTGGTGGATAGAGGACAGTCTCACGTCACTGTTACCGTGTTCTTTGGGGAAGGGAGAGCTGGCCAGACTCTGGATAAACATCGTGTCCAGAACTGGATGGTAAATATTTGGTGTTTTGTGCACCATCCAAGCTCAAGACAACACTCAGCACAGCTGCCACGGTGCAGAAGCACCCGCAAACAATTTGTGAGCCAGGAAACTCAACTGTTCTAACACACTGCATTTGCAAAAAAATGGACAGGTCACATGTAGTGCAGAAGTTTGCCGGCTCCCGCTCTAGAGAAATGAGTCTCTCCCAGGGGATGCTTTATAATCAGCCGTCTTCCCCAATCCCACATCTGGAAAGTTGGGGCCTATTAGAGGTGATTTCATTCTGAAATCGGGGTCTGGGGGAAGTGGATGAAGCATGCAGCCAGCAACAGCTCCAGACTCCTCCTCTGCCACTTGTCACTGCCATCCACGTGACCTTGAAAAAGTCACTTCATTTATTTTTGTCTCTGCCTCTTCATTCTCAGAATGAGGAGGACCGTGTCTTCCCTGAAGATAGAAGGAAAGAAGGAAGTTAAATCTTGGTCCCAAGTGTATGTTAATAAACATTAATTTCCTTTGGTGCAATTTTCTAGACAGCTGGGGAAAGGTAGGGATCTTCCTATTCTAGGTTAGGAAAGGTGAAGAGAGCCCCTGTGTGTCCCCTGAGGGAGAGCGCTGTCACAAGGATGCAGCTACAGCCTTTCTGGAGCTGGACTGGAGTGTAGTGTTAGCCTCACCTCAGCCTCCCACAAAGATGCTCATAAAGATGAGTAGAGGGAAGGGTCATGGAGTTTGTTAATGACAAGAGACCAAAAACCCAGTTCTTGTGACCAGGTCATCCTACTTTACCCATTGATCTCGATGCATTTGACCTTCTTCTTCTTTTTTTATTTTCAAGACAAGATTTCTTTGTGTAATATAGTCCTGGCTGTCCTGGAACTTGCTTTGTAGACCAGGCTGGCCTTGAACTCACAGAGATCTATCTGCCTGCCTCTGCCTGCCAGCTGCTTGGCAGCATTGACCTTATTTTCAACCTAAGGAACCAGGGTGTGTCCAAAGGAGAGCTAACTCCTTTCAGGGTGAGGCTACAGAACAAATGTCAAGTCTTTAAAGAGCTCTTCTTCCCAGCAAACGGACCATTTCTGCACTGCAGCCCTGGATAATAGTTTTGAGAGTCCAAACGGCAAGCACGTATCCTTCTTGAGCTCTTGTAGAGAGATGCTATGTATCTGTGAGGGCCAAGGGATGTTCTGTTTGCACATTTCTTTGTTTGTTTTGAGAGCTTCTCATGAAGCTGCCTGAAGGAGAGAGATAAGTATGAACCGGCCTACTTATTTATGACTTCCAGAAACTGCTGAATTAAATAAAGCTTTGAAGTTTCTGGAAGACTTATTAGTCACCAGGTGCATAATGTTGTCATCATACCTACTGAAAGGAGGAAGTAACTGGTACCCAACTTCCAAAAGCTCCCTCGTGCTTGTCTTAGGGTACTTCTGAAGCTGCCCTGGACTCTTTTATTATCTATTTATGTGTACAAGTGCTACATCTTGCATGTTAATATGGTTCACATTAAAACCCAGAAGCAGGCAAGAGGTTGATAATTGCCAGAGGCAGTAGCCGGGAGGTAGGGAATGGTTAGGGAGGGAAATCTGCTGATGGAGGGCCTGGGTTGTAAAGCAGGATTCCTAAGAAAACAGAGATGGCTTTGTCCAACTGTCATCAGTTGCTCCAGAGAAGATGTCTGCCTGGCCACGGGCAAACTGTTTCAGGGGGGAGAGACTGCAGGAGCAACATGTAGGCCACGACAGCTGGGACAGTTTCCTCATTCCCAAGCTCCTCACCCCATTCCTGAGGGACACAGGCTACCCCTGTGCTAATCAACACAGTAACAGCGGCTGACGTTCAGGTGCCTTTCTCCTTTCTGTCTCTCCGCGGCCTCAGAAGTCTAACATAAGCCAAGCTGATGAGAAGAGTGAGCTCTGGGTATCTAGGACCATGCGATAATAACAGTGGTGCTCACCACATGTGGAAACCTGCCGAGAGCGTGGCTAAGTCGTCCCATTACCTCTTCCCTTTCAAAGGGAAGGAAAGGAAAGGAGAAGGGGAAACAAAAGGGACAGAAGGAGAACAGGAGGGAAGAAGAAAGGAAGGAGAAAAAAATGGTAGCTAGGTGAGGAGGCAGATATGTTAACTAGCCGGACTGAGGTGACGCTTCTATAATATATATCAAGATATTAAAGCCTAAGCCTTAAATGCATTCAACTTTTTAAAATTAATTATTCATTCATAGGAAAGCAAAAGCAACACAAGAAATACAAGATAATTTAACAAAAAAAAGTTCCTAAAATGCTATGTAGTTGAAGTGAGGCACAAATATTTCAGCAACATTATCCTGTAAATATGATTATATTTACAAGGACTGTGATTTCTAATATAGTATACAGCAATGTCATTAAGCAATAAATGTTTTGTTTGTTTCTCACTGTGTAATTTTCTATATCATTTTTTTCATTCTATTTTCAGGCTTTTAGAGGTCTTGTTTTGTTGGGGTTTTTTTTGTTTGTTTGTTTTTGAAAACTGAAGTTTTGGGCAGTTACTAATAAAGCAATCAATGAGTGTCTAGAAGAACCAACTTTTAGCAAACTGGTGAAATCTTGTTAAAACATCAAATCAGTATTATCTCAAACATCCTTGAAGGTTGAGGAAGAGAAGCAACTTGCCAAGGTGAACGGAGGAGCTCTGTGCCCTCTTTTGCCCTCAGACAGTGGTCCAAGCAAAACCCCACCCACCTCACAGCTGCTGGGTAAATGTTGCTCTGACCTCAGCCCAAATCCAAACAGAAAGCGATTAGTTCTAGAGGTCCGAAACGTTAGGCTCCCAGACTTTCCTTGCCCGTGCCTTCTTCCTGGGACCATGCCCACCACCACCAAAGGCTTGCAATACACCCTTTCTGTGTGTGCAGGAAAGGGGTCCCTGGGTGTACCCCGAGTCTCAATCCTCTCACACCATCCTGAGCTGTGCTACGTCAGACAAGGTGCGTGGACTCTCTAGAACCCAGTTTTATTACCCAATAACCAGCTTTAATAATGGAAAGCACATCATGGATCGCGATGAGGATTAGATAGACTCCTCACATGATGTACTTGACCCTGATCCTGGCATGTGGGGATTACTCAAACAGTAGTGATTGCACTCATCTCTCTACCTCAGGGTAAACGGGAGAGATGGGTCACAGTGCTTACCACGCCTCCAACCCTGTCTCACACGTGCAGCCATGTACAAGCCCTCGGCTTCCTGTTACCCATGCATGGTTCTCTTCTTCTGGACTGAAGTCCCCGGATTTCCTGTGGGGATCCTAAGCACATCTCCCCACTAGAGAGGGAAGAAGAGGAAGGACAAAGTCCTTTTCCTTTCCTCACCTCCTGGCCTCCATTCCACTCAACCTTTTTCTTAGGGTATAGAGGCAAGGGGATGGAAAACCCAGGTATCCACATGCTGCAAGTGACAATAGGCACTATCAGGCAGCTTTAGGGACACAACGGATATAAACAAAAGTGTTTTCACACATGGATCAGGGGCCTTAAGACTCCTTACATTGGGTTGCGAGGAGGAAATGACCTTCACAAATGTCTTACACTGCATCCTGTAATGTTTGAAACCCAGTCCTGGCCACATGGGAAATCTCTGATAACTCTTCACTATTTCTCAATTTCAGCTGGTGAAGTCTTTCAGTTCTAGAACTTTCGCTTTATTCCCCTTTTTGTAGAATTTGTAGCTCTTCATCCAAAATTTTAATCTTGTCTTCCAAATCTTTGGGAATGTTATACCTGGACCTATGTATTTTGTATGTATGTGTGCGTGCGCGCGTGCATAGGATGGAGGTTGACGTCTGGGTGTGTCCCTCCATCACTTGTCACTAGAGCTGTTTGAGGCAGTGATCTCTCACAGAGTAGATTCAGTTATACTAGTGAACTCCAGAGACCCTCCAACCACCTCCAACTCAGTGCTAATGTTACAAGCTCACAAGGTGATGCCCAGTTTCAACATGGATAGTGGCGCTCTCAACTTGGTTCCTTATGCTGGCGTGGCAAGCGTTTGACCAAGTGAGTCTTTGAAGGGCTGCTCCTGATAATGCCATGATGTGAATCCATCCTAGGTCTCCTCCCATTGTCTGGTTTTCTTTAATGCACAAACTGCCTTGCATATATGTTATGGTTTGTTTAAGTGCTCCCAGAATGGAGCTAGTGAGCTATAGTAGACCCTGCATGGGGGAGAGAGCCGTAGGTCCCTGGAGGCACAGCATACTCTTGAAGGGAATTTCTCTGCCTTTTTCTTGTTCTTTATGTCCTGGCTGATGAGGTGAACACTCTGCAGTATCTGTTACACCCCCAAAACCAAAGCAAGGAGTCTACCCAATCTTGGACTAGAGACTCCAAAACTGTGAACCAATTAAATCCCTTCTCTCCATAAGTTAATGACAGCAGGTATTTTATTATATGGACAAAGCTGACTAACATAGAGTGTCTGGTTTTTTCTTTTAAATTACTCAGGTTACTATATATTTTTAAACTGTAGAAAAATTTTGAAGCTGTGTATGATGTTATCCTGATATTGATCGTTTTGCTTCTGCTGGGTTATTGGACCAGAGCACGGAAGTCCTAGGTAGTATTTGTTTAAATAAGTCTTGAACTCATTTGTGAGTGGGCTTGGATGCTTGAGAGGGCTGTTCCATCTTTGGTTCACTTCTAACTCTCCGGGAATCTAACCCCGATTGCATGGAATTTATCAGAACCATTTTTTCCCTAAGCAGAGCATAGTGCATAAATTTTAATCTGTTTATTCTGAGCCCTCCAAAACAAGGTCCACGAATCCTCAAAAACCTCAGCTTGGGGAAGAGCTTCCCCAGAGATTTAACCC